GATTGATTTTCCGGGACTCCGGCTCAGTCACTAGGCAAAAGCTCAAACGCACGTTTCTCTGACTTAGTGTCATCGCATGACGGCGGTGAGGGAACCGACTGGTGGACCGAACCCCTTACATCTGCGTCATTCAGGGAGGCACCTGTTTCGGTTTTTATCTAGCAGTTGTGTGGATTGTATGGCGAATCGATCCTGGTGTATACTTGTACACTACTTACCACCCATTTACACACTGTGAATATTACGCGTTTATTACACTGCAATTGATGAGTTCGGCTGAAATATTCATCCTACGGTACGGACTGAACTTGAATGGACTCCTCAAAGAAGCTACTAAAAGTGCACATATAAACGTCTGGCGAAATTAAAATGCCTAACTCAAAAGTAAATACCATTTTGGTTTTAAAAATATGGTGGAAGACAACTCAGCTGCAGAACTTCTCAGCTATCTTTCAGTGAATTAACCAGGTCCATCAAGCCACAAGGGGTCTTTTGGCCCGTGAATTCTTTAGGACAGCCGACAAAACTTTCATTTTCTCATTTAAACATACGGCATAGTTTCATTCTGAAAAGGACTTCTGTTGAAGTATATTTTGGACCCACATATTCCTTTCTCATTAACAGTCTTTTTCGGTTACTCCTGGGCCATTTTACGCTCAAATTTCTTAGGCGCATGAAATTATAATTTCTTCATAGGCCCAATGGGTCATTAAAACACAACGTAGGATCATCATTCCCTTAAGGTCGTTGATTTTTTACACTCTCACGTTCCTCGTCAGTTATGGCGTGTTACATGTCAGCACCATTTTTCTTAGGAAATGAAGCACTCCAAAGGCGAAACACTAGCGAGATGGCTCCTGCGCTGCAAGCCGCCCCGAGAGAGTCGGAGGAGTGACACTCGTTCGGAAGCCAACGATTTACAACGAAGAGTTCCTCACTGGCCACGCATCGCACATTCTACAGATATCTGACCTTCCAGTTCCTGTAGTTTCTCAACGACTTCTTCAAATGTACCCTCTGTTTGAGGACTCACATTTGTTCCTGCATTTTCACTCTTCCGATGTCTTTTTTCTCCAGCTGTCTAGAATTTGAACTGTTCTTACTTCAACACATCACCCTCGCAGCCGCTGATTTACGTGGTAGTCGTGATGGCCACACGGTTAGTTGTGAATACAGTTCGTCCACCTGGCCTTTTGGTGAAATCATCTGTGGGTCCTCCGTTTTGTCCTAAACCTCCGATCTGGAACCACATAGCGATGAATAACTAATACTTGGAGGGAACGCTCTTAAAGGCACGACTGAGTGGAATGGCTATTTCGAAGTTATTTGTGATCGTCAGTTACCGCGACCAAATCCGACCGGCGGGACTTGGGACTTGAGCCCGGATTAGGTTGTTCCTTGGGCCACAAACTACCAGGTAATCCGTGAGCTCACGCTCAACCGACTGTTATCTGAAATAACTAAATTTGCATGGGAGTGGTGCCCACCCAGACTGCAGGAGGGCGTTGGGACTCCTGTTTACTTTGGAGATCTGGACTCGGGGATTTCACAGGCGTCAGCTTATTGACAACCGCTCATTAACTGACGAGTTCCACAAGCAAAAGCTAAAAGTAGACTGAAACTGTCCCTTTTGGTTCAGTTTCCAGCAACCAGCCAGCCATACTTCCAGCTTTAAGGTTTGAGACTGGAACGTGACTTTTCGTCGACCTCATGATTTTTATTGCTAACCGAACAGTGGAATAAACTACGAAACATTTGTCATCTTAGTAATATGGCGCACTTCTGACTCTATATAAAAAATACGCAAACTGCAGAGTTTTTGCCTGATTCTCATCATGTCTAATTTTTCTTACTGTGAAGGGCCGACAGTTTCAGAAAATCAGTGCAGGTGATGTCTGATGCTTTAATGGGGCCATCAAGATGGAGGGGTAAGCAACGGACCATTTATCTGTGTAACTATTTACTGTACTGACAACACGGGTACTAGTTAAAAGCCCAGACATGCGTGTTTCGTCGATCTTATGCCACCGCCTGACGCAACTGCGAGGGGTTGGGATCATCAGTGGGTCCTCCAGCCTTCCCATGTGTTTTCTGGTATCTGAACTCCAGTTTTACCTTGCCTTTTTTAATTTACGAGGAAGGTAATGCGCGAACTTGGGCTAAATTCTTCGGGACAGACCTGCTCAGGCACGGTCCGAAAGTTGATGAGCTGAACCCCTCGCAGCTGCGTCAGTCAGTAGCATAAGATCAGCGAACCACGCGTTTCTGGGCCTTCAGCTAGTACCTGTGTTGTCAGTATGGTAAATAATTACGCATTTGTGTACTATTGGTTGACGGTTGACGGTTTATGAATATTACGCGGTTATTCCGCAGTAGGTAATGGATTTTAGTCAAAATATTCATATAAACTTTCGGACCGTGCCTGAAAAGGTCTGTTTTGAGGAATTTACTCCAAGTTCTCGCAGTAGTTTCCTCGGAAATTAAATAAGGCAAGTACTATTCACTTGTTAAGCGGGGATCTTAGTTTACCAGATGCTTTACATGATAGTCAGTCAAATAATATCTCAGATCCTTGATGCAAGGTGTCGAAACTGACGTAATCTGCTTGAAGCAACCCAGTCAATCTTTCAGATCCGAGTGAGGCCTCGTGCTTACAGATGCCTGTCGCAACCAGTCGTTCTTGTGTGTAAAAATTTCTGTAGCACGTTTGTATGCATGGAAAATACGGTATATGTGCTATTTCACGAAGTACTAACCAAAATTCTGAAATTTGTCTTCGATTAAAAAGAATTACTGAAGTAGGGTCGTAAGACCAACTACCGCGCGACATAATCACAAGATATTTCAGTCTCGTTGGGATGCCAACTTCTGAACGAACTTAGCTCCGGCCACTTGCAAAAATTACTCTCTATAAAAAAGGGCTGCTTGAGCAGCGTGAATATTCCGTACTGACTTTCGATGCCCCCATACATTCAAATATATTTTAGGGAGACACGCACAAAAGCGTTCCTGTACTTATTTGGTAGCTAATTACGTCCTCGTCAAATTTTCTACTTGAAGAAAGGATGTTTTTTTGCTTTTAAAAAGTTTTTGACGATGAGATTTTTTAAGTCCGTTAAATGTCTACTCATAAAACATCGTATCCGTCCATTTATAAATACTGCTTGTAAAGTATGCAGCATGGTTCACACGCAGTGCAAAATGTCACATTCCCTTTAGGATGCATTCTTAGTAGCATATATAAAAATGTGATATTCCTTGCCGGGAAGAAATGCAGCCTGTAGTTTGGGAACCCTGAATACAAGCTCAATGGCAGGTCAGTTTCAAAATTACTCGGGAATTGAAAAGGTTTTTAAAATCCAAAGATGCGCTTTCTTTAAATAGAAAATTTGAAGACACAATTTTCCATAAAATATGCATAAGGAAAAATATTTTCATGCACGTTTTCCATAAAACATATTAGAATTTATGAGGGCGTCGAAAATCCATGGGGAAACTTCGTGCTACATATGCAGTCGTTTTCTACACATAGTAGTCTTTGCAAGCGGCCGAAAAAAGCCCGCCCGAAAGGCGGTATCCCGACGGGACGAAAATATTTCGTGGTTGTGCTGCGCGATAAGTAGTCTTACGACTCTACTTAAGTAATATTTTCTAATAGAAAGCACATTTCTGAATTCCGATTGGCATTTTATGAGATAGCACATCCACCGTAATTCAGTTTCTATGCGTTCTTCTAATAGGTGAAAAAGTGTATAACTTAACCAGAGCACCCTACATTCTCGATTCTGTCGAGGAACACGTTGACGTGACTACTAACGGGCTTATCAGAACGCATACATAGAGACAACCCTCCAAGAGCTGGTCAACTTTTGGTCTTGAAGGAGCCTTTTATCGATAGGTTAGTATGCTTGTTTTTCCTAAATACAGAAACCATCTTTCCTTTCCCACTCTTGTCTTAGTGAGTCGTAATGTCCTACTTAAAATTTACCCGATTTTCGGTAGTCAGGTGAATCACCGAAGTTGCGTTTGGTAGAGGATCGCTCGCCGATCGCGTTACGGAACTCATTCGCATTGTTGTGCCTTGGAGCTCTCTCTCTCTCTCTCTCTCGAGCCCGCCAGCAGCCGCGTAGCGACGTGTAGTATGGGCATAGTGACAGACAGTTGTCTTTTGCTGTCTATATGCTAAATCTCCCCTCCCCCCTGCACAAATAGCAGTCGTGTGAACACTTCCCAGCTCACTTGACCAGTGCCTGCGTGTGAATGACACCAGTAGGGCTACAATCTGCTGCCCATGACTCACAGCTTCTAGCAGATTCTTCTTCGTGTTCATTACGCTGTCTGGCACACTATCACTGTCCCACGGCCTCGGAGCATGTGCATTTACGTGCGCCTCGTAGTCCGCACCACCAGTGGCTTCACGAACGCCACGCTGGAACCCTCCTGGATCGTTTCAACTAGATACGACCAGCTCACCAGTAGTATGGGGCCATCAACGTACACACGCGGACCACGACTGCGAAGCTGTTAACTACGTACACGCCTGCCGCGCATGCGCCAGACATCCGCCCTGTGGTTGTTTTGCTGCACCGAACAGGCGGAAGACTCGATTGCGCCCCATCTAGAGCATACAGGGAGCGAAGGCAGCATTTGCGAAATGGGTGAAGCGTTATTTTGAAGCAAGTGTCAAAACTAATGTTATGTGGCTGTGATGTAGGCTAACATGGCTCGGTTACTTTACGGAAAAGGACAGAAAAGTGAATCTCAATTATTTTACAAATATACAGTACCATGTACATGCGTGTGCCTGATGTAGCATAAAAATGGTAATCAAAAATAGTTGGGAGCAAGTTTCCATCCTAAGTATATCCCATTAGGCTTGGCAACCGATTCTGGCCGAGTCCGTCCTCACTATCCACAAGTGTCAGGAATGTATGGCCAAGGATCTCGCAAAACGGGGAGCGGAGGGTACTTAAAGCAGACTTTGGTGGAGGAGTTGGCTACTAATTTTCCCTTTCAGCAAATATTTCCCACGCGGATGGATGAACTAGGGAAATTGAAGAGGCGTTTTCCGGTGTCCGTTCACGTTTTAGCGCACAGCCAATCTGCGGCTCATTATCTGCGGTCACGATACGCCCCAGCAACGTAGTGGGGTCTCCGTTGGCGAGGAAGGATCGCATAGGGGGGCGAGTTGTTGGAGCTTGGTGTGTCTGGTGAGGTGGTCCTGTCCAGCTCATCCGATCTCTGCAAATGACAGTAGCCGCCTCCTCCGGTTTGTAACTTCCCTCATCTGAAACACTGAATCTTTGATGCTGTGGGCACCGTTCGACCTCCTTGGCCGAGTCGTGAGCTTCATCAGCCTCGCTGAAAATACCCTGACTGGACTTGCCTTCGGTAGCCTTACTGGTCGGAACCCCGATGAGAAGGCTGGAGTTAAAACTGCCACCCACTTCCCTGGCCAGCGGGTCGGAACTGCTGGAAGACAGAATGGCCGTCGGCGGAGAGCTGCTGGAATTGGTTGAAAGGCCATCGGCTGATGTAGGTTGATGACGCCTACTCCCTGTGTAGACTGAGTAGAACTCACCGGATGACGGGCTTGTGCTGCGCTTTGGCGGAGCAAACAGGTCAGCAGTGGTAGGGTCGACAATCGCTGCAAGAGAATAATGCCGCGGCTGTTTTAAATTTGCATCTTCTTCTGGGTAGAACGTTTGGGATGACTGAGCAGGCAAGAACTTCTGCTGAGGTGAGATCAGGTTTGCGTAGGCGGTGGGGAATATGTTATTCTCATAGAAATCGGGCACAGCCACTGAGGCTGCAGCCGCTGTTGATACTTGTGCAATAGTCTGAACAAATCCCTGTTCCCCTTCTGCCTCCATCTGTGATCGGCTGAGACGCCTTGACGTGATCACATTCTCTGCCTCAGAGGGATAGGGATTTGTTCTGTAGGGCGGAGCCGTGGCAAGAGGGGTCGAACGACCGTACCCACGCGGAGCCAAGATCTGAAGGTCCGGTGAGCCCTCGTAGGGGAGGCCGTTTGTGTTACGCCAGTCCTCGAGGCTTCTGGCGGTGGGAGGACCGTCGGGAGGGGGACGCCGTCTTCGGTTCCGCCGGAGGAAGAGGGCCTCTGCCGTCTGGAGGAATCTCGGCTGCTGTTGGGTTGCGCGCGGCAGCGATGGATTATGATCCTCCGTGCATTTGGAATATTTAGCGATTTTGCCGTAGCCGCCGCCCTCCTCCTCGTCATCGTCACTCTCCTCCACTCTCTCCGTCCGGTTTGTACCCTTTTCTCTCCGCAGGTCGGGCTTACAGGGGCTGTATAAGTCGTCATCTACAGACGACACCGCAGCACAAAGATCTGGAAGATCGTCTCGAAGGAGGAGCAGTGGCGAGGCATAGTGTGCTCGCATATGCTTGCGGAGGGAGCTGGGATGAGTGTAGCTCTTGTCGCAACCCTTGAACTTGCAGAAGTAGGGCTTGTCATTCATATGCACATGCATGTGTTTCTTGCGATCCGAGCTATTGGCAAAACGCCGGTCGCAGCCGTCGAACTCGCAAGTAAAAGGCTTCTCTCCTGAAATGGAGCAAGGATGCATGATTACATAGTGCTGTATGTCTGTCGAGAAAGCTGAGAGCAGCAGCAGTGTCTCTCCTTCTCGCCGAATTCGCCAGCGAGTTATGGAAGAAACTTTTCAAAACCGTGTGACTGCCGTTTGGACAGCTGCTGAGCTTTCTGTCACGAGCGGGATACTTAAAAATAGGTCATTTGGCCCTCCGCATAATTCAATTTAGTTAAGAGTGACCGCGCGAGGCGTAAGGGCGAATCACATGAAAGCTCGAAATATTTGACGAATCGATTTGGTTCGACAAAACTTTAAGCGCAGAGAAAACGTCATTAAGCATTCACTTTATTCTTGATATACATTTTGGATATTTCATTTAGCGTCTGTGGAGTATAGCATGACGTGGTTAAGGCAAAGTAACACTGGCTGCTTCAAAATACAGATTCGATGTGGCTTGCCCAGGAAGGTATCACGTTTTATCGGGAAAACAGCGGATGTTTCAGCAAAGGCCCCAGTCTCCCGTTTCCACAAAACGTCAGTTCCTCTTCACTTTCTGGGAGGCCTTTCACTTCAGGACGTTTGAACTTTCGGCATCGCTAACCCACCCGTCCCTCCCCATAAAAAAATGGTGAAGACAGGTGTTTTGTCTAATTCTTTATATTATTATCATGTCAGATGTGGGCCTGAACTCAAAAAGGTCAGTGGGCCCATTTTGAAGGGAACTCTACCCTGTTAACGGGCAAAGCGTGCGAAAAACTGATTAAATTTTTGTAGACACCAAACAAAAAGGCCTACTTTGATGGGGCTCCTAAACTGGTTAGCATGGGAGATATGGCCAGGTTAATTCCCACAAAACACCAGCAGCAACTTGTAACTGCATTTTTTCAGCCAACTGGGGCAATAACAATTGAAAATGCCACTGCTTAAGTAGTTTATTTCGATTGAGTTTCGATGCCCCTAATGCACAATGTTGACAACTTATGCTCATCAAACACATATCAAAATATGTTACTTAAAATAGGAACGTATACACAATAATACCTGTATATTTTAAAACAACCGAGGTGTTTATTTGTTGCTAATGTTTCCAAAATACAGACTACCAGAGTCGTTTATGTCCCAAAAACGTGGCTTCTACGTGTTCATGGGATATTATAATGCGTGTATGGATTATGTTATGAATTTTTAAGCGATACCGATAACCCTAGAGGATATAAGACGAGGTTGGACGGGAGAACAAGTATCCTCCGTAGTACAGTTGGCCTTGCGCTAAATTCCAGGGGGCAACACCTATTTCCTTGTCCTTACTCTACACCTTCCTCTCACTACAACCCCATCCCACACAATGCAAACCCTTACATTATCCCTAACTCCTTCTGGAATGTAACGCACGGTTGCCTGTAATACGGGACGTACCAATTTCGGTGTTCTACTGAAGGCTGCCTCTCTAATCACGCCAGCGGCTCGAAAATTCTTATGACTTTTACAAACCATTTTCTCAAGGACCAGTCTCAAAGAAGACAAAAGTTGTATAACAGAGTTGTAACAGCATAATTAGTCGTACGGACCTCAAACACCACTGGCAAATGCTTTCATTGCTTAGATGCTGGTTTCGCTCTTCAAGGGCAACTTATACAGATGTCTGGAAGGGTACCCAGACAAAGGCCAGCACGTTACCGCGTAGGAATTTATTTGGGACTTTCTTCTCTGAATATCAATGTTGTAACCCCACCCATACAATATCCTCATTTGAGAGCGTATCGACAAATTCTAGCCAAGTTTTTATAACTTTCGGAGCACACAGTATATGTGCATATGCACTGTAAGAGAAGGAAATATTTGGGTCTTTTTGTCACTTCATCAATTACGCCTGACTGATGGGAAACTTGTTTGCGCAATTGCCGGTACGCCTCAGTAGCGTACGACGCAGCCACTAACCCCCGCCCCCACACAACAGCCCTTGCCTCCCCTCCCCTCCCCAACATTCCCATAATTGTACTGGTCAGTGGTGCTGGTCGAATATGCAAGATTTCCCCCAGACATAATTGTGTGAAAATCTGTTTTTATGGATCATGACGAGTGACTGTCAATCGCACCTACGTTCTGCGCTGTCTGCCTGTGTGGCTGCCGTGGTTGAAGCAAGAAGGCGGTTGTAAGGGTGGTGGTGGTGGTGGTGGTGGTGGTGGTGGTGGTGGTGGTGGTGGTGGGCGGGGGGCGGTTGAGGAGGGAGAAGACGAGGAACAGGAGACCTGTCGAGACCTGTCTCATCTCATGTCAGAGTTCCTGCAGTAGAAGCATCAGCAACAACCGTGATTTTGCTACCCCAACCGCAAGGCGCACTACATGGGTAAACGAGCATGGCAATTTGTGTGCACACGCTCGTGAACGCAGATCCGTCAATCACGTCCGAACTGCTAGTTGCCTGGCTGTCTGTCTGCAGAGGCCTGACTCCCCGGTTCCACTTTCTCACATACGGCAGCCCCCGGTTTTTCCTTGCGGGTGTCACGATTACCTGTTGTTCTACTTTTTGTAGTCGGAGCAGGGTGGGGGGAGGGGGGGGTGGTGAAATTGGTCGAGCTTCCTTGAAAGTCACACCCTAATCAACTCCTCTCCTGTAGACTGGAAGAGCGCTTGCCGCCCGGCTTTCCTTCCCATTCCCCGTCCTCTCAACCACCCTCCCGCATCTCTGCTTCTTGCGCATCTTCTAAGTGGGCCTTTTGGAAAGGTCGTCTTCAAACTGTCTGGTCCATTAGTGCTGGCTACTTTCTGAAAACTGGTCAGCTTGAGAGCGAGAGAGACAGAAGATGCATGTGAAAAGCATGCGTCAGCTGATGTGAAGGTGGCGATGGAGAACGCTAGGTGGGTGGGAGACGGGGTCTGCGAGAGGATGCAAGGAATGATCATAAATGTGCAACGAGCCATTTCTGCTCGGCCGTGGGAGAGTGGGATGGAGGAGCGATCATCTCGAAAGGTGAGGCATGTGCACCCTGGTAGTGAGAGTGTAGCAAGGATGTAGGCCTCAAAGTAAAACCGGAGAAATGGGAACACACAAGTAATGAGGCGAACTGATATACAAAAAATGCTCCTCTGCTGACGGCTATGCTGCTGTGGCGAAGCATCCGTTTTCGCTGCGAAAACACCCATGCTGTTCAAAGGCCTGCGCATTCAGACTGCGATCTCGTGACCGTACAATTGAACTATCTGTTCATGACCACACTTGGCAAACATCGTCAAGGCTCAGGTGCCAGTCTTACGTCTGCCGGCCTGTCGGCATTTAACGAATATTGCGCGATTAGCCGCTGTGGCTGATGGACTTCAGTCCAGATGCTCATACATCAAATTTCGGTCTGCACATATAGACCCTAGAATATACTGATCTACTCCTAGTTCGCAGTTAATTTTTGGGGAAATTAAAAAGCAACAATTTCTCAAATCCTGTCTTGCAGAAGAGAGATAAGAAAATGGGAAAGCTTTCATAGCGCGTCGTAGGCCAGAGGGGATACTGGGATATGCGTAAGACTTTTGAGGTTGACTGGCGTATGGCGTTTTGTTAAAAATAATGGGCAAAGTTTGTATATGTAAGCTGGAGTTTTTATTCCTGTGACATGCCTACTAATTTGGTTTTGGTGGGCTTGTTATATTATGATTATGCTTCTGGCTAGGCTTAAGAATATGACTAAATTTGGAGATACGTTCAAGACTAGATTTAGGGTTGGGGCAAATATTACGATTAGGGAAAGGATTGGGGTTAAGTTTTCCTGTCGCATCTCATCTTATTTAATTTGGCCTTCTTTAACCAATAGCCCTGGATTATCTGTTTTCCGCCCATTTGCACGCCCTGCCTCTCATCTTTCAAATTTCGCGGTCTGTTTCGGCACCTCTTTGGAGTAATAAAACAAACGTATGGCAGAAATACGAGTTTTCTCAATGCCTTTTACTGATTCCGTTAATTGCCGCGTACATCTGTCGTATTGATAAAATTAACACTAACATCCCTCCCGTATTACAGGAGTCCTTGGGTTCTATTATCTCTATGGACTTACATATCGCGCTGCCATATCGTGTTCCTAATTAATAGTTGTCTTTTGACATTGGCCCATGAAATAGTTTGTGTTGAGACAGGCTTGCGTAATATCTGCGTAACACTCTGTCTTCTCTCACCCACCTTGCCTCAATGGCGAGACTGTCGGTGGTGAGCGTGGGCCCAGTGGCTAACAAAGCCACGCTGGGTAGATCGATAAACTCCAATCTGGCGGGGCTCCACCTATTTGTGCTCGCAGCCATTCCAGGTCGAGCCCGGTAGCCCAAGTGTGTAGGACCTTAAATTTGAATGCCAAATGGTCCGCTGGAAAGGGGTCAAAACATTGGCGCTGAAGCACCTTGAGTTGAGTTATATTACTGACTAATGACAGATAATATGTCAGAAGTGGTCATTCATCTTTTTCGGCAGACATGTCTTAAGTACGGATCAGTAGTAGCTTTGTGGTCGCCTGTGTGAGCTGTAGACTCACAGCGTCGAGGCAACCCGGTAATGCTCACTTTTGCCCTGCGGTCAGGATAGATGGGTGCAGGCAACTCTCATGTCACCAAATACTCCCGATCTTAGCCGACATGACTCGAGCTCGTTATTTCAGTAACTGCATGGTTACTCAGCGACCAACCGACTTGGGATTCGAATAGCATCACCGACAAAGACAAGGGAGACTGGAATGGCCATTTCTGGCTTATTAGCTGTCATCAGCCAGTCACGCCCAACCCCGAAGTTTAGAACACCTGGGGCTGACCCAGTGACCTGTTAGTTAGAAGTCTAACACCTCTAACCACTGAGCCACGGGCTTGTTGTCCTGTTGGTTGCGATCGGAAATATACGATGGTAGAGGGACGCTCACAAATCGTTTCCACAGAACTCACTTGTCGCGTTGTGTCTTGGGGCTCTCTCTCTCGAGTCCCGCCAGCAGCCGCATAGCTAATAAGCCAGAAGTGGCCATTCCAGTCTTCCTTATCTTTGTCGGTGATGCTATTCTGCCTAAATCACGCGCCGCTGTGCGGCTGTTGACGAGGGTCGAGAGAGAGAGAGTCCTAAGGCACAACTGGACGAGTGAGTTTCGTAGCGCGATCGGTGAGCGCCCTCCTACCACTGGGATTCCAATCTCGGGGATGCAGCCCGGGATTAAAGTATCGCCAGCAGATGACGGCTAGTGAATCAGAAATGCCCGTGCCACTGGCCCTTATGTGTCTCGATAAAAATTTTTCACTTTACGAAGTCTACGAAAAATTCGGTTCCAATCTGCACCGGATTTGATCAAATTACATGAAAAAGCCGTGCAGTTACTTCGTAGGAACTTGAAGCTCCTGACCTGCTTTAGCATTATATAACCGGCCGGACGTTAAAAACGGTTATGCGTCGAGGTAAACAACGATATGCAGGCGCTCATGCAGCTAAATTCACCCAGTTACTAACCATTATTTTCAGGAAATGCGTACTAAACGCAATAATTAATAAGGGTATTGTTAGGCAAACTATTGTAAGTCAAGTGCCAAGTGCTTTGTAGTGCCACACAGCAAGTATGCTGTTTTTCTGAAAGAACATAAGAACCCTCCTGCTTGTTATGATTGCTCCCAGGAGCTTCATTTAGTGAGGGCCGTCATGCAATAAGATGCTGCTTTTTTCAAAAGTGGTGCATCAATCAATGAAAAATAATATGCAAAATCTGCCGGTGGTGCTCTTTATCAGGGCGACCAAGGAAGTCTGCTAGAGAACGAAGCTTTTGCTCAAAAGTCCCTTGTCCAGATTCCAGGAATTTAAAAGAATGTGCCACAAAGGAAGTCAGACATCCCGTTTCAAGGGAGAAAATTTTCGAGGCGAGTCGTTACCTTTATTTCAAAAATACATTGGAAACCTGGTTGATCTTTCCTTTTTTCGAAAGCCTGTCCGAGAAAAATAGTAAATAAGTCCTTCGTCAGAGCCGTAGAGGCCTTGGACTATTCTTACTAGCACCTAAACGGAATGCTTACGTTTATTTCTCAGGGAAACCGCGTAACACATCTGTGCGCTTCTTTGTCCCAGGAAAAAATTGGTTTTTCACAATCCTCTAGTGAGGAACTCGCAAATGGGTCTGTCAGACAGGCGTCCCATGCCGAGGACTATTTTTTTCTTTCAGGTTGCTTAGGGCCTGGGCTGTAAAGACAGATTTTGAAGGATGAGCGGAATCCGATTATGTTCAGTTTCACCGGTTGCCATTCTTGCCACTACAATGAGAGGATAGAAAATCCTGTTTCCTCCTCAGCAACCTTTTGGCCAACTTTGCAAAAATTAAACCTCGACATACGAGAGGCTAGGCAAGGGTGGTGAAAGATATATAATTTACTGAAGCGGTAAGTTTTGCGACCCCCTTATTCAACTGCGAATGGTCATTGTATGTGCATAAAAGTAACAGTTCAGTGAGAAGATAGACGGCGCTTTATCACATGTAAATAAGATCTCGGAGCGACTCGCTGCTTATTTTCTCCGACAGAAACTCGAATGTCCGCATACAGTGATCACTTGGTTTTTGTGGAGTAGCACAATCGCTATGGATTACTTTTTTGGTTTTTTGAGCAGGCTGCTTTACTAATCGTACATGCACCTGAAAGATTCATAAGATCCTAAGATTGCTTATAGTCCGATGACGTCCTCCTCTCAAGTAGCACACTTAAGGTAGACCTAATTGCCCACAAAATGCGCAACAACAATCAATTTGAACCCGGCTTTTTTGACATCAGGAATATGGAACAAAGTATGTATAGTATTGAATTAATTAGATGATGCCTGATGCCAACTGCTCATATGACTGGAAGGGTGCCCACTCAAGAGGCAGCATTGCGACCTCACCTGGACAATCTTCCGCCTAAAGACGCATTGAGAAAAGTTCGGTCAGTATTTAATGGGCTTGAGCAGACGAAAACATTCCACGATTATTCCGCTGCATCTGGTGATCTCCTACCCAATTTTTTGCCTAACCATTGGGCCGAACCGTGAATACCGTGTCACGAGGACCTTCCCCCATTACTGCAAGTCCGGACAGTCAGAGGATAGATCCTCGCCCCCGCGATCGTGCCTGCTCCCCAGTTTTCCTTGATATTTTCAGCACCGTCCTATAGCTAGGTTTGCATCAGAAACCACCCCGGGAACTCACTGAAGAACCGAAATCTCACAATGCTGCCCCGAAACTGTAGAAAATCGGCGAAACAGGGAACTCTGTCTTTAGCTAGTGCCTGCATTTGGAGCA